CGGGAAACGAGGTCCCTACCAGGTACCCCGGCGGGGGCCTCGTTTCTCGGCGATTTCCGGACAATTTTGTTCCCCGGGTTTTTGCTCGAAGCCCACTTTGCTCTTCGGCGGGATCCCTCCAGCCAAAAGGTTGCTCCCCGACGAGCACTAATTGAGAGTATAACTACGAATTTTGAGGCTCATCTGAACTATTTGTGGTTTGATTCCTTCAAGTCTTGCTCCGGTATATGATGCGACTTAATGTGATAAGAAATGCTTTAAAGCTCAAAATCTAGGCAGTATGAATTGAATGAATGAATTATATATTACTATTCATCAGTCAAAGAGGGCTGCTTGTCATCGGTTGTGTCGTTGCTGAATATGTCATCTTATAATCTCATTTAAGTTGTGTCAACAAGACTAAGTTTGGGAACGAAGAAAGACTTCGAACGAGAAGAATATAGCAAATTGGGCACAAGTGTGATTGTTGAATGTAAATCGGATTTGGATGAGTTGAGCTGAGTTGCCGGTCGATCCTATTGGTGCTTATCAAAATACATTATCATCGCATGCTTTCGCCGCCACATCCACTTACATCTCGCAGCTAATTTATTCAATCCTTCTTCAATATCTCCTCTTCAAAATCATCTGGTTTGTTCAAAATTAACTTATGATTTCATTTTATTCACTCTCAACAGTATTTTAATTTCTTTTAATGATAGTATATTGTCCATCGAAACTACAGCGCGATTCATAACTTGGAATATTTATAGCAAACGAATGCCAACAGACTCTCATCAGAGATAAGCCCCAATCTGAGTCATCTCAATGATTCCATTAATATATTTCAAATTTCGTCGTTTGCAATCACAAAAGTTTATTCATAAATCAATGGCAGTGTGTTGAGCACGTGTTCTGTTGCAGTTTTCAATAGTAGTTCGATTATAAAGAAAGCCATTATGTGCAATTCTGGTGATTTTGTGATCGAACGGTTACTTATCCGAATGAATGCATCCGAAAGAGCAATTTAGCATCATCTGTCCATCAATTTGAGAAATTAAATCCATTCTAACGCTTAAGGGAAAGGTCTTTAATGTCTAAGTGAAATTGATGTACACTTAAGGTGCTTCAAGCATCAATCACACTTCAGTGTCGTCAAATTGGATGCCTCATTACTTTTGCAATGAAAGTTTTCTTTTTTTTNTTTTTTTTAAACGAGTCTCAATATATACACCACTGAATGATATCAAGTTTCGAATACATGAATCTAGGACATATAAAACTAGCTCTTCCATGATTTCCAAAGAGTTCAGTCGAATTCAAAAATATTTCGAATTCAACTTTTAAAACGAATATTTTCTGATTCTTCTCGCAGTCTGTCCTTTTTGAAATCCGTTCTGCACGGATGGGAATGAGTGTTTTGAGATCACATAAACTCTTCAGATCCTTCGAAGCGATTTTGAAGTACGAAAAAGTGGAAATATGCATCGTTTAGCAAATAAATGTTTTCGATAATATTTAATTGATTTTGTTCTCATCTAAAATGCGAGAAAAGAGTGAGTGAATGTGTCGTGTGCACACGTTTCGAGTCTTGATTACTTCCGCTCAATAGCGCTCATGATGGAATGTGGAGCTGTTTCGCGGAACTTCGTTGAAATTGCATCAGGCAGTTAGAAACTTTTAAAAATTCTTCTTGCGAGTTCATAAATTGCCGTTCAAATGAATGAAACCGAAGAAGCATTGGTGAGCCTCCAACCTCACATTATATAATATGATGTGAGGTTAGAGGCTCATCAAAGTTACAAATATAATTCATAGTATAAATCCAGTGAATCTGGATAAACTTAACTCAGTTTGAACTGAATTTGTTCTCCTTTAGAATAGTGTTCTGTTTATTTGATGATCCATCTATAATACCAACTTCATTTCATATTCGTTCTATCCGTATCTATCACTTTCATTTCCTAAACGTACGTAAATGGTTTGTTCAGAATGGATTCGCCATCAGGACTGTTGCTAACGTTGTTGATGTTGCTCATCGAGAACAGTAATTCGTCGTCCAATGAGGACCGAGCCAGATGCAGTGCATACACTGAGCAGTCTATTTCCAAATGTCTCAAGGTTATCAACTTTCCATACCGATCACGTTCTTATCCCTTCAGCTCGCTTCTAATTGATTCCTCATCATATGTCAACAATTTTCATCGAATGCGTGATATTTCAGCCAATGTTGGATTATGCGAGCAAATTGCAATCAGAAACGGGTGCTATGCAATTTCCAGTTCAAGGGTCCGATATCTTTCAAGATCTGTGCAGAATATACAGCGAATTCAAGGTTAAGCAATTACACCTTCATCGAGCGTTATAAGTATATGAAATGAATTTGATAATGGAGTCGATAATTAGTTGATAATTCATATTATGAATCCAGTGAATGTGGATAAGCTTAACTCAGTTTGAACTGAATTTGTTCTCCTTTAGAATAGTGTTCTGTTTATTTGATGACCTACCATTGAAACTTGATCACTTCGTGTTTGCGATATTCATTCTTTTATCGTGCAATGAAACATCTCTTTGTATCATTCTTATTACTATTATTATTGCTATTATTTTGATTTTATTATCGCTATTTTACTGCTATTGTTATTTAGTATTATTACTAATGTTATTA